TTTTTTCTCTTTACTTGAAACTAGGCCATGACATGTAACTTATTTTGAGCGTTGACCATTACAATTCTGCTCTTATCAAAAAATTTCATAATCACATATACTCACATAGAGCTATCCGTCTTTAAATCTTTATTTTTTAGAGAAATTGCATTGCTTCCAAGACTGCGGCCATTTTTATAATTTTTTCTCTTTTGTCCACAATGTTCCTTATAGAAGCAAGAACATTAAAGAGAACAATTGACATTGTGACCCAATTGTAATAATTCTAAACCTTCAATAAAATATTTTAAATTATTTTGTTGAATATTCAATAGCTACCACTTGTTCATTTGAATAGTAAATTTTTAAAAATATTTGAATATGAAGAACGAGAAAACAACTTCAGAAGCCAAAACAATATTATTCTTTAAAATAATAATATGCTTATCGTTTTATCTTAGTCAACAAATTAACCAGTGAAATATATCATATGTGTCAACGTAATTATTGTTAATTCTTGTTACCTTAATATATTCTCGTCAGTGAGTGAGCTTATGTGAATGGCTTGCAAAATGCCCGACAATGTGGATTCTTCTTCGATTACATTAATTATTTAATAGTTCTGACCTACATAAAAATCTTTTTTTTTTAATCGTATGTCCTAGGAAGCAGGAAATTTAAATAAAATAAGAACCACGTTTTCTTTTCTTCTAAATAAATTCTGGACAGATTATATGTGCATTTCTCAATTGTTTATTATTTTTATAATTATATTTCGTATAGTTGACCATAACCAAACCATTATCCCAAAAATATGCATTTCATGGAAAAAATAAAATTATTGTAGTTTTTTTATTACTTGAATCTTGGCCCTAGCATGTGAATAACTTTAAATATGGATTATTTTGATTCAATTCTTACCGAAAATTAATTTTCACAATCACATGCATTAACATATAACAACCTGTCTTTACTTCTTTATTATTATTATTTTGTTTTTAATTGTTTTAGGGAAATTACAAAAACCCAACATTTATCACTTGTCACAACTTTGTTTCCAACGTTTTAATCAATGCTATAAAATTTAGATGTTGAGAATCAATTTGAACTTCTTGAAATTTTGGAGACCCAGTAGTAACAGTTGATTAAGGTTGGTGATCGACACTGCAATTTTCCTTGTATATTATTGCTTCCAAGACCATGGTCATTTTCTTTTTATTCACAATGTTCCTTCTAAGAGCGGTAAACGTTGAAATGAACAAATGATCAAATGAAATAAAAGGAGAGTAACGCTTCCTTTTCTTCTAATGAGTTCTTTGATTTTAATGTGGTAAGCATGTGTAGTGAGTAAAGAAGGTCAACAGAGGATACTAAAATGGCTCTTACAAGAAGCGTATGAAAAAACAAGGCAGGAGAAGAGTTTCAATGGATTATACGTGCATTTTTCAGTTGCTCATTACTTTTATAATTTATTTTTTACAGTTGATCGTAGCTAAATCATTATCATGATGATTATATGCACTCTAAATCTCGAAAAAAAAAATCCTCTCTTTAAAAATGAAATCAATGTATCTTCATTACTTGAATTTAGATCATGACATGTGAACGACTTTAGACATTGGCCATTTTAATTATGTTCATACTGAAAAATTCAATGATCACGTGTATTCGCATGGAGCAATTTGTCTTTACATCTTTATTTCTCCAGGAAATTGCGTTATGCATTTCAAATCTTAAAAATGTGTCTTTCATTGAAAAATGAAATCATAATTTTTTATTTTTATTTTTATTTTTTTAAAATTACTCTAGGCCATTACATGTGACGGACTTTAAGCATTGACCATTTCAATTCCGTTCTTATTGAAAAATTTCGTAATCACATATATTCACATAGAGCTATCCGTCTTGAAATCTTTATTTTTCAAGGAAATTGCAAAAATTATCATCAATCTTTTAAACAATGCTACAAAATTAAATATGGAGAACCAACTTGAACTTTTCGAAATTTTAGAGACCCAGTTCAGTAATAGCAATTTATTAAGGTTGTTGACAAACGCTACAATTTTCCTTATTTTTTAATTGCTTCCAAGACTATAGCCATCCCCCCCCCCCCCACCACAA